TGGAGAGAGAGAGAGAGAGAGAGAGAGAGAGAGAGAGAGAGAAATACTTACTTAACAGTATTTACACGAATTCCTTTGGGTCCCAATTCCAGGGCTAATATTCGAGTCAACATATCCATACCTGCTTTGGCCGGTGCATAAGCTAGCATAAATTTAGTCTAGATAACATAACAAAATGTTAATAATTCTCGAATTTTACATTGTTATTATTAAAGTCTATTGATTTTAATTATGTTTTAATCAATATGTTATTTGGATTAATATTCGTTAATGTTAGTATTATTTACCGGTGCAATTGCGGCAATACTAGAAATATCAATAATAGTTCCGTTGGTTTTCTCCAGATGTGGAACCGATCGGTGAATGAGTTCTACGACAGCGCGTAAATCGACGCCAAATACCTGATCCCAAACTGATAACAGATCTGTTTGAGTGATGTTTGTTTGCGGATATATACCGGCGTTATTGACCAACACATCGATTTTGCCAAACGTTTTGACCGTAGAATCGATTAAATTGTTTACATCAGAAGTTTTGGTCAAATCTCCCACAACTTCTAATGGCTGTGAAAAATAATTAATTTTTAAGAAATTTATTTTTCAGAGAATTATGTTTTGAAATGTTTTGAATTACTTTTAGTTTTAGTGGTGACAACTCTTGCACCTCTTTGGCCACTCGTTGAACGTCCTGTGCTTTCCTTCCGGTGACCACAACATTAGCCCCTAATATTGAGAACAGTTTAACGATTCCCTCTCCGATGCCCGACGAGGAACCGGTCACTAAAATCACTTTCCCCGTAAAGTCCCGGGACTTTGCGACCGCTTTGTAGTCCTCTATAGGATAGTCTGCGCTCACAATACAAACCAATCCACACATCAATGCTATTAATAATTTCATATTTAATAATCAATTTATTAATATAATACAAAATATAAAACTCAAGAAATTATTTTTGTTAATGATTTTATTATTTTTAGTTTCTGGTGTTTATATAGTGTCAAAACAGTTGCACTAAACTCAAGTTAACATAATATTTCATTTTAATCTACAATGTGACCTTTTAATTAAATTTAGTGCATTACAAGTCTATTGTTTTTATATAAAAATAATATGAAGTAGTTCTAAAGAGTAGTATCAAGTTTTATCTAATAATTATATGATAAATTTACCTTAATTCTCATTTCATCATATAATATAAGCTTACCAAATATAAGTAATTCGCATTAACATTATACTTTTTTGCGTTCAATAAATTGTGCATTAAATCAAAGGCTATGATTTATAGCACAAATATGATCTCAATTGCTTATAGAAAATTTTAATCATTTAAGTGTAAAATAATATTTGTACAAATTTAGTATAATTTAGTAAATTTAGTTAATTAATTGCTTGTAGGGTTAAACAATGTTATATTTGTCAACGAAAATGTAAATTTACAATTTAGTGCATTACTAGTCCACTAGTATTTTATGATTAAAACATTATTATTATTATTATTAAGATATTTAACAATGCTTAACTAAAGATAAATTAAGTTAATAACTATCAGTAATAATTTTTCTAATCTATAAAAATGCAACAAGAGCTTGTCAAGGTGATTTTATTTACACTAAAACTCTTAAAAGTTCCAAGTTCAGTTTTAATGCATAAATGGTCAAATATTGCAAATAAAAAATTTAATTATCTTTTTAATTTGTAAAAATAATTATAATTCCAATTATAATAAAAATTCATATAAGTGAGAATTAAAATAAAAACCCTTTAAGCCATAAATAACCTACAACATTTATAGTGAGATTATTAATTTTGTTATGACTTTTGGTATTTTTATTTTATTGGTATAAAATATTAAGACATGTGTTGCCAATAGAGTGAACAAATCGTCCGTCCGAGGGGTCAGCCATAGACTGATACAAATGGTAATTGAATTATATACTTTACAAACTTTCTAAATCAAACTATTATTATTTTATTATTTGTAATTTATCAAATAAACTGTATATATAATTAAATAAATAATTTATATATGTATTAAATATTTAAATTGACAAAAACATGACGTTGTAATAGTAACAAGCTTGCTTAATTACATTAATGTGTTTAAAACACCTGCGTTGTATACGAGTCCGCCGTCGACCACAACATTAGCGCCGGTAATAAAGTGGGCGTCAGTGGAGGCCAGGAATGCGACCGCACGGGCGATGTCTAGGGGTTGACCCACTCTTCCCAATGGCGCCGATTTTTGGGCCAACACTTCCAAAGGACTCGGAGGGTCTCTGCCATGAATGACACCCGGACTGTGCCAATCAATGTAAGGGTTAGAAACGAGTGAACGAAAGTTTGATTAAATACTTACTTAATAGTATTGACACGAATACCTTTGGGTCCCAATTCCAGGGCTAATATTTTGGTCAACATATCCAGACCTGCTTTGGCCGCTGGGTAAGCTAGTGAGAAATTTACCTAGTGTAAAAATAAACAATTTGTATATAAATACATGATTTAAGGCTAAATTTTTAAGTTATTAATCTATCTACAGTATTATCTTATTTATACATGTTGTTTTGTTATAAATAATATTAACAAGTTATTATTTTAGGATAATTTAAAATTTTACATTATATAAAATTATACACTTGTATAAAACTTAGTGATTGATAAATTTATTAAAGTATTTCAATTAAATTAAATTAAATGTAAGTCAACTAAAAACAATTGTTGTCATCAAAGTAAATAACATACCGGTGCTATTGCGAGAATACTAGAAATGTCAATTATAGTTCCGTTAGTCTTCTCCAGATGTGGAACCGATCGGTGGATGAGTTCTACGACAGCGCGTAAATCGACGGCAAATATCTGATCCCAAACTGATAACACATCCGTTTGAGTGATGTTTGTCTTTGGATATATACCGGCGTTATTGACCAATACATCGATTTTGCCAAATGTTTTGACCGTAGAATTGAGTAAATTGTTTATATCAGAGGTTTTGGTCAAATCTCCCACAACTTCTAATGGCTGTAAGTTAATAATCATTTTTATTTATAATTAATTGTATTTTTAAATTTTAAATCTTATTAAACATACCTTTAATTTTTTTGGGGACAACTCCTGGATTTCTTTGGCCACTCGTTGAACGTCCTGTGCTTTCCTTCCGGTGACCACAACATTAGCCCCTAATATTGAAAACAGTTTAACGATTCCCTCTCCGATGCCCGACGAGGAACCGGTCACTACAACTAC